AGTGTCAATTCCTTCATAAAAGCAAGTCAAATGGCAAAGCCGGCCGGCTTACATGCATGCAGCCTGATTAAATCCCGGATTCCACAGCAGGTAGAGACTTGATGAAATGTTAGTCCCACTAAATGGTATACCTCACACGCTAGAGGTACCACAATTTTTTTCAAGTTGTCCTCAACACCTTATCAATATCCATAAAATACTACTCCTGGGTAAAGAGAGCGGACAGAGTCAGAGAAGCGTGTCTTAAGAAAAAAAACCATACAGTGATCTTGGCGTAAAGTTCAAACCCCCAGCTCCTTATCCTTGGTCCAATGCAGTAGCCATTAAGCAAACATCTCTCAACCCATAAGGTCTGGTGCACACTTGTGAGATAAGCACAAGCGCTGGCGCAAATATCAGCACAACAAAACGCTGATGTGCACGGGGTGAAATAAGCCAAAGCATAAGTACAAGAAAAAGAAACATTCTACTTTTTTCTTTTGCCGGAACTTCTGCTTATTTCACTAGTGTTACGCTTATTTCACAAGTGGGAACTGGCATGAAATAAGCACAAGCATAGGCGCAAGAATTGAACCAATCACCATTTTGTTTCCCCAGCGATGTAACTGTCACCGCACATGCGTATGTTGCTAACTAGTGCGAACATCCTTGTGCTTTGGCTTGAATGTGTACACGCTTCTGCTCATCTCACAAGTGTGAACCAGGCTTAAAAACCGCCTGGTACATTTCTGTCCTGGCGTTTTTCTAGGCCCCGTACTCACCAAAAAGTGATCGTCTGCATGGCTTTCCCAATACTGACAAAGCTGCTGCCATCTGTCCCCGACATCAACTCCTAGCAAGATAAGATTTTTACAGTTACCTTTAATACTTATGCTACGTCAGTACACATTTCATTTTGCTACAAGAGCTCTCATAAGCTAAGTGTAGTAACAATCAAAAAGTCAAATTGAAGTCCAGTAGTGTGTATTCCCCTTTATTATCTGAACAGGAGTGTTATCACGGAAAATACACCACTCGAATAATTCAAACGAGACTACTCCGGAACCCGAGTGACGTAAATCATTGTTATGATGTACGTCACTCGCGTTCCGGATGTAGTCGCTTGTGAGGATATTGACGACTTCTTTATCATTTCCTGCTTTATCGATCACTTTTTGTTTGTGCACACAGTCAGTTTGTCTTTAATCATAATAAAAAATTTACTCGATGGCTTGAAGATATTAATTTTATTTTCTCCTCTTTAAACCCATAAAAAAACCAATATTTTCCGCTTGAAAATATAATTCATATCTTCACGCGGCCGTGTAATATCCTCTATGCATAGGCTACACAGATATACATGCAACACGTGGGTACATGCCGCAACAAAGGGCGTGGCTTTGACCTGTTTTGCTCTTAAAAATGTTGGGCATAAGAATGAATGAATTAATAATGTATTGACATTATTTTACTCATCGGGCTTTTCCTCTTCGAATGTAAAAATGTAAAATGTAAATCTTTCTTATAGTGGTCATGCAAGCTTAGCTAGTTTACAGGCATGCCACTAAAACAAACGAAACAAATATTTCAAACGAAACAAAAATTGCCTTTTTCTAAATGACAGGGTGCAATTCACCCCAGGTACTGTGCACGATCTTGACCAGAGTGTGGAAAGTGATCTAGCTACATGTGGGTCTGAGAAAGGGTCAGGATACAGGCGGTAGGTCCGGGGGTATCCCATTTATAAGCTATACGGGCATGTGCTGCTGTGAAGGGTATGGTTTTCAGGCAGTTCAGTCTGGGATAGGGTATAGATATCACGCAGTGAAAACTACAGGGAGTTTTGGTGTCTAGTCTAGAATAAGGTTGCAAAATCAAGCTGATCATGGTCTTGGGAATAGGGTAAGGGGTTCACCGTCCAAGCAGCAAACCCCTACCCTAAATTTATAGAGTATAAAAATGCTAGTAAATAAACTTGTCAATATGAAGAGCCCTCATTCTATGGTTACTAAAATATATACAAAAAAACTGTCAAGTGTTCACATAAAATCAACTGGTTGAGGAGAGAGGGAAATGGTTTGTTGTGAGCATGTTTGCAGGTCTAATAAGACTTAGCACACTGGATTCCTGAGTGAGCAGTCTGGGTTTGAATGTTGACCAGTGTTTTTGAGTTGTGCTCTTAAACAAGACAATATTTTTTGAGGGGGTGGGGGTGAGCAGTTTTCTGGCACATGAAACTTTTTTCTCCCCTCAGTTAGGTTGTGCATGATTTCTTTGATGGGCAAATTAAGTTGTGCGATAATTATTTATTTTTTTAACTGATATCAAAAATAGGACCTAGATAGTAGAATTGAGCACTTGTTTGATTTCTTCCCCAATNCAAGTGTTCACATAAAATCAACTGGTTGAGGAGAGAGGGAAATGGTTTGTTGTGAGCATGTTTGCAGGTCTAATAAGACTTAGCACACTGGATTCCTGAGTGAGCAGTCTGGGTTTGAATATTGACCAGTGTTTTTGAGTTGTGCTCTTAAACAAGATAATATTTTTTGAGGGGGTGGGGGTGAGCAGTTTTCAGGCACATGAAACCTTTTTTCTCACCTCAGTTAGGTTGTGCATGATTTCTTTGATGGGCAAATTAAGTTGTGCGATAATTATTATTTTTTTTTTAACTGATATCAAAAATAGGACCTAGATAGTAGAATTGAGCACTTGTTTGATTTCTTCCCCAATTGGCTTCCCTTACACTATTTCTATTCTTTTATTGTAGTTTAAGTTAGGAAGATAAGTATAGCTAGTTGATTATCATAAATAGACTGATGGAAATACCATGTATATAAATAAAGTTATCATATTGTATCGTATCGTATTGAAGACTGCCACCATCAACTCCTGGAGTGGCACAACATATAAACAAACTGTATTGAGCTTTAAAAAGCTATATATCTTGTTTACAGGTTGTAGTGACAGGGAGGTGGTTTACATGCTGGAGTGGCAGGGAGGGGAGTTGATGGTGGCCGTCTTTGATACACAACAAAAACACCCTTAAGGCACTGAGAAGAAAGATACAAAGGTCACACATAATGGTT